ACCTCAAGACGTCCGGTGGGGTCGGGGATACCAATGTCGACCTCACGATCGAAACGGCCGAAACGACGAAGGGCAGGGTCGATGGAGTTGGGTCTGTTGGTGGCAGCCATGACGACGACGTTTGAGCGAGCCTTCATGCCGTCCATGAGGGTGAGAAGCTGAGAGACGACACGGCGCTCGACCTCGCCGTTGGTCTTGTCACGCTTGGGCGCGATAGAGTCGATCTCGTCGATGAAGATGATGGCGGGAGAGTTCTTCTCTGCCTCTTCAAAGGCCTTGCGCAGGTTTGACTCTGATTCACCAGCCATCTTTGACATGATCTCGGGACCGTTGATGAGGAAGAAGAAAGCACCAGTCTCGTTGGCGACAGCTCTTGCCATCAACGTCTTACCGGTACCGGGGGGGCCGTAAAGAAGGACACCACGGGGAGGCTTGATACCGATCGACTTGAAGAGCTGGGGATGACGGAGAGGAAGCTCGACCATCTCGCGAATCTGAGCCATCTGCTTTCTGCAGCCACCAATGTCGTCGTAACCGACCTCGTTGAGGTTACCCTCCTCCTCGTCACGCTGGATGGGCTCACCCTCGCAGTGGATGACGGTATCTTGTGCGACAATGCCGTATTCGGGGGGATCGACCTCGACGACCTTGAACTCTACTTGTCTCATACCACCGCGCACGATGAAGAGGTCGCCCTGGCGGACGGGTCTGTAGGCCTCACGGAAGTAGGGAGCGAGGAAAACGTCGAAGAGGGAGCCGGTGATGCCCTCAACAGTGTCGGCGATGGGAAGAACAGCAATGCGCTTGGCCTGCGATAGGGGTCAGTAACTTGGACTCGGAGAAGCGGTGTCCCGTTTGCACATACGTATTTGATATCCGGGCAGGGGTGGATGGTGATCATGTCACCGTGCTTCACCCGCAAGTTGTGGCGAACGACTCTGTTGATGCGAGCGCTGCCATCGTCCAGCTCATCGTCGGCAAGGACGATCAGGACGGTGTCCTTTCTCTTCTTACCGCGCACGAGCACGGTGTCACCACGGAAAAGCTGGAGAGCCTCCATGGTGTTTTCGGAGAGGGCAATGATGGAGTTGTCATCGTTGACGGCATCGGTAACCCTGCAACAGTTAGCGTCATGAAGCCTGCCCCACGCTTTCCAGAGCTCACGTACATCAGTTGGTTGGGCTTCTTCTTCTTCTTGAGGATAGCGGTCGCGGTGTCATCTTGCTGTTCGCTTAGTCAGTATCAAAATAATCATCACGGTATCCGTTTCCGTCGATCGAGACTCGGGGAGACAAACATCCTTGACCTCAGCACCCGAGGCATCCCTGGTAGGAGGTATCGTCAGCGTATTTCCTTCCTTTTGCGAGCCACTTCATGGAACAGCAACGATGGAGGTCCACTCACATGAGGTTGACCTTCTTCTTGTGCTCGGCGGGCTGTTCCGACGGAGGCGCCATCTTGATCGACTGTTTCTGATGATTCGGGTATCCGTATGCAGTCGTAGTATGAAGGTGAAGGCGGGATCGTCAGCTGGGTGGGGTAGCTGTCAATGGTAGAAATTCCTCTTCGGCAGGAAAGCAAAAAGGAAAGACGATTTGTGTTGGGTTTATATCCCTTCCTACGGTGTGAAGGAGAATATTCGTGGTTGGCGGAGATAGGGTGGGAGGGTTTGCAGATGGGAAGCTTTGTGTCGGAGACAGGCAGGTGCAGCAATGGAGGTAGTAAAGGCCAGCCAGCAAGAGCAGGAAGGTGTGAGGTGGTGACGGGAGGCGGCGGCAATCCCTGGGTCTGGTCCCCAGACAACCAATGAAATCATAGAGTGGGGCGGATTAAGTGCACTCCGGTGCATTCGGCAGCTTAAGTAAGGCACCGCTCCAGGGGTCGAATCTGGCCCAAGCTCTACGATTCAGGTGGTGACGGTGTCGTCAGGGCAGTGGAAAGTGTTGGAAGCTTCCACTCTTGCTGACCTTGAGGGTCCGACGGTCTCCAAACGGGCAGGCAGGCAGCCTTTGGGCCACGCACTCTCTCAGCGACTCGGTGTCGCACGCACGGCCTCCACCTAATCCACTATGCCATTGGAATCCACCAGTAAATCCGCACTAAGTCTTATCGCCTTTCTGCATTAGTGAGCTTTTATCGATATGGCAATTGTACACCTCAAGGTAGGTATTTGAAGCTCACCGAGATCACATCACCATAATATGGGTCTTGTCATTAACTGCCCTGTCGCCTCAGGCTCGCTTGAGTTGCGGTCCTGCCAGCCCAAGCATACAATACGTAAGGACATGCCTACCTTATTTTCCTGACAAAAGGTTCTCGCGTGGCGGGCAGAGACAGACGGAAGGAGCGAGCGACTTCTTTGTTATTTCTGCTACAAATCGTCCAAAGCAGCGGCGAACCCGGACCACCAGCTGAGCTTCTGTGAATCCAAAACATTTGCTTTCTCTCCTCCGAAAATTCGCCATCCAGCCCCAAACCTAAGAGTGAGCCTAGGCGCTCGATGCATCCGGAGGCAAACGAATGACAGCTGGAATGCCAGCCCACTGCAAACAAACGCCTTCCTCCACTCCCCAAATCCGCACATCCCTCTCCAATCAAACGGCAAAGCTGCGATTATTCATCGCCTCCTGCTGGGAGAGCGGCCACGTCGCCACCTTCTGCCGCCAACCAAGGTATCTGGCGCCGCCGTACGCCGCATGGTCAAAAATGGGCACCGCGTCGGCGTGCCGCATGGTCGGGAGCAGGTTGATGTGGTGCTCCAACAGCCCGAGCCCGAGGATGCCGACCCCGGAGCGCGGGCTGCCGACGGCGATCCTCGCGGAACGGTCCTGCGTCTGCAGGAACGCCTCGGTCAACCAAGAGAGCGCAGGGTAATTGTTCATACGGCGCCCGATGCTATGGTCGTGGCTTGAAAGGTCGGTCTGCCTACACACATTGATTAGCTCTACACTCTCGCAGCTTTCCACTTCAAACCATGGGGGCGGGCTTGCTTACCCCTCGGGCGGACTCCCGGCAACGGAGCCAGTCTCCACCATAACGGACCTGAAGCTCATCTGAAGTGGGGTTTCGGCGGTCTCTTGATGTGACGGGACGGACCGAGCTGTCGACAAAGCCAAGGGAATTTGGCTTTTGGTCGTTCGTCTAGATTTGCCTGTTTTCTGAATCTGGAGTATGTCGATCTGTTGAAGGTCGCAGCTCTCTTGTTATCTGTGTCGGCCCAAGGGTAAGGAACCAATGCCACATCCCACGCTGGAACCTTTTCATCAAAGTCGTAGGCCAACAAACCGTTCTTATATCAGTACTACCTTATACGCAATATCCGCCCTACGGAATCTAGATGATCGATCACAGCTTGTTGTCCTCCACTCCCGTTGGTTGGCCTCCCCTAATCTTCATCGCCAGGGGTTATAGTGAGGCAGGCGGCTGGCTGCAAGATTGTCTGCAGCCCCTCTAGGCTACCTTTACGTTACTTGCAGATTGGGGGCCATTTGGCTGTATAAGCCCCCCTGTGGCACAATCCCATCACACGACACCGTATCGCTAGCCTGACGCTTCAAACACGACTGTCCTGCAGACCTCTTTGTCCTCATACTGTTCCTTTCGATGGCTTCATTCTCATTTCTGCACAACCACCACCAGTACTCCGTAGACGTAGCCTCGATACTCACCTCAATCGAGTTTGCGGGAAATAGGCCACCAAAACCTGATGCAATGGAACCGCATGAGCCTCCAAGCTCGATAATTGCGACCCGATCTGGCCTGAGAAGCAGCACAATGACGAGACGGGCATGTCCCACTTAGAGGCTGGCGGTTCCTCAGCCTCAGCCATGGCGTGACTTCCTCCCCTCCCCTCCCCTCCCCGCTGCACAACAGAGTTGGGAACATTGCGTCGTGATAGCGCGAAGTCGCTAGTGCGTTCAATAACTTGATGTTGACTGCCTGTAGCAAACATCGTCTCTGCACAGCCCCTTCCGGTTCGTCTTCTGGAAGACGCAGAATTCCCCGTGCGGATTATCCGCAGGTTCCCCATGGTCTTCCTCAGCCCAACCTGACCCCGGCAGGGATCTCCAAGTCCACCTGGGTAGCAACAAACGACCTCTTGGCCCATGGTTCCCGCTTCCACCTCGAGGCATATCTATAGCCCCCAAATCTGACACTGTCGTGCAACTACATGCCGTACTCTTGATAGGCAGCCTTACAGCAAAAGCTCGTATTCGAGCACCATGCCCACGATCTCAGTTATGGTACCTAGGATGGGCTGAGACTGTTGAGGTCTCCCTGAATCCCCCACGCGCGACGTTACTGATCGTGCTGTCTACATCATCATTCTTGAGGCCATCCATAGAGTACAGAGTCAACATCTCCAGAAACTATATCCTTGACCATAGGTATGCTTGACCGGTCTCTGGTCACAGCCTCACTGTCTGTCAAGCTGCGCTTCTTCTTCCCCCTCTCCCCCCGCATCCATTTCGAATGCTGCCCCGTCCGTCAGCACTTACACCACATCTATTGATGCAGTGCTGCACCTCCCGGCCCCCATCGCAACGTTCACCTACCATCCCCGATCTTTTGTCTTGCCCCGAGTATCCACATGGGAGCCCGGCCGGTTGCCTCTTCCCACATCCAGTGATTGTAGGGATCCTGACGAGACCTACATGGATCTACCACGCATTTGATTTTGGTTGCGCTTTCAATACTTCGTGGTTTACAAGACAACACTGAGCGAGAATAGTGGCATGCAATGAATAAGAGAAAACCGGGCCATGCTCGGTGATAGCTGCTGCTATTGGAATATCATACAAGATCATGTCCACCGCTCCCCCGATGCGGATATAATAGAAAGAAGGCTGTGCGCAAACTCCTCCTCCCGTATGCTTTCCCTCCACCGTTGTGTGATAAGGAAGATGCTCAAACAATGCAGTTGAAAAGACTCGCTTTTATGATCCCTTTCCCATAGATAACTCCGTTGTGAATAGTCCTTTTCCTTGTCAGGGCAGAAATCACTGGTCCTGAGACAGCGCTGGCTGGTACCGCATTTGAAGAACCCACTTGTCGTCAAAGTCAATGCCTCTCCGAATCTTGGTACCCGCCTTCTTCCAGACTGTCGCGCCGAGACCCATGTCGGCAATGAATAGCTTCCAGTCTTCATCTTCGGCCACAGCACCATGACCGTCAGCCGCTCCGGCACCGTGAACATTCGACGGGTCCGTTTCGGAAACAGGTGCCATTGCCTCGAGCAATCCCTTCTTCGGCGCGCCCATCGCCACCACATACCGAGGCTTGACATACAAGCGCCCACCGTCGATGATGCTGACCTTTCCAGTGGATGGGTCAATGCCCGTTGGTACGTCCACCGCAAGAACAAATGCCTCATTTCGGTTGGCCCATTCTATCAACTCATATACAGTGGCTTGGTCGCCAGTTCGAAGCTCCTCAAACGAGATCGCCAAGCCTAGAAGAGCATCGATGATGAGTGTTACCGATGTTGCTGGGGTGGAAGCTGTCTTGCGAAGCTGTTCGAACAACTCAATCTTGTTGTGTACGCGACCTCCAAAGTTTCTGAATATTCTCACTTGCTGTCGCATGTCTTCAAGCAGATCTCGCTCACGCTCGATGCCAACGACACAGACTAGTAGGTTGAGACCCTTATTGCGTAGGTGCCGGGCAGCCGCAATGGCCCTTACTCCGGATTTGTTGTTACCGGCAAGAATGACGACGGTCGCAGAAGTCGACAAACTGTTGCTTTGAGCATTTGCGCCACCGGTTCCGAAGCGGACTTGAATCGCGGGGTCCTCCAGAGCTCGCAATGTCACCTCAGCGATTCCTCGGCCTGCATTCTCTGCCATCATGTCTTCCGTGAGCCCGATCTCATTGGCTGCGATGTTTTCCAGGTTCAGCATTTGAAGAGCCGACACGGTCTCCAGTCGTCGATTTGACGGTTCGAGATAAAAGCCGGACTGTGAAACGTGCTGTAGGTGGTTAGTACCATGAAGACTTTTGGGGCTGTCTTGAGAACGAAGCAACGCTTGGGACTGTCTGTTCAGACGTACGTTGGAGTTGACGCGATTGAGGGGCTGACTGCTAAGTTGCGCGCTCGCTTTCCGCGATTGCGACCTCCTCGCAGCTCCTGGTTTGCTGTCCGCCCTGCGGCTACTCTGAGCACTCCGGACATCACGACCGCTCAGTCGATCAACTCCATTGGCGGCATCATCAGCCTCGCTGTTCCAAAAATCCTGACTCGTCTTTGCCGATGCGGCTGGCAGGTCGAGTACATTCTCAGAATAGTGGAGGTTCTTCCCTCCAGCTGTTCCTGGCTTGGGCAGGCGGTTGTGCGAAACCAGCCGGTCTGCCTCATCAACCAAATCCTCCTTCCGCATTTGGTCGAAGATGGTGCGTTTATCAAACTTTGCCAGGTTGTTCTCGAAATCGAACTCGACCATATCCTCAGTAACATCTTCCGAGGCCCATCCGTTTTCGGGCAGGTCTTTCTTGCCCTTAAGGCCCCGTTTCAATGAGTTGAAGGGTTGGAAGGAAGGCGAGCTTTGCAGCATCGGGGTTTGCCTCCAGCCCTTCCCACGGTTAGTCGCGTTGCCGCGGATCGGGGTAATTTCTGGCACCGTTTCCTCTGTTGCGCCGTTTCGAGCCTTTTGCTTCGCTCGCCGCCTGCTGCTCTTCTTTTGTGTTTGACCCTGTACTTCACCAGTATCCTGCGACACTGCGCTGTTTTCCACAGCAAATCGTTGTGCGTTGGGCGTCGAATCATCTACCTCCAGCTCCTGCAAGGTCTCGCTCAGGCTGACAATGTCGTCCCTCAGACCTCCGGTCAGGTGGATGCCGGACAAAACTCCTGGCTGTCCCGGCCTAAGGTCCCTCGGTGCGCCTGCAGCCTGTTGAGGTACAGCTTCAGGGAATATTTGGCTTTCACTCCCACTCACGATACCAGAGTCGGGCCTCTTTTCCATACTGAGGATGGCGGGGTCCGCAAAGGCGGGTTGCGCAGGTTGATTGACGACGGGAGCCGGAACAGGACTGACGCCCGGCGCTGTAAAGGTATTGGGCGCGGAATCCTCCTTGAATTCGGAAAGCTCGAGGACGTTGGCGGCATCGATTACGACCCTCGGAAGCCAGTGATTCGTCCCGTGAGTGAAGACTATGCGAGCGTTTGTTAGTGGGACTGGGCATCTAGTGATGTTGTTGGAACATGAACGTACCGTTACTCAGTGTGAGGCTGATGCCGGGCTCTATAGCGCTGACAGTGCCCTTCAGCATCGTGCCGTGAGGCTGCCTTAGCGTCACCAGCATTTGCAAGCCGATGAACTCCATGGTGACGGATGCGTCGCAGTGTCTGCGTGCTGAGTCGTTGACTGTGTCAGGATGCACCAGAGAAGCGTTGGGTTGGGGCTTCGTCGCAAAGATAGAATGAGCGAATTGACCAAAATTTGAGCTTTGAAGATATCGCAAGTGGACAAGAAAGATCGTAAGGTGGAAGCGGCGGCGGTAAGACGCTGTTGGCGTGCAGAAATGAGGTTGACGTTGACAGTGAATATGTGTGTTGACCTTGGATCTCGACGAATGACCAGACCAGAGAGCTTGCTTCCCCCAATTCCCCCCTCGGGCACATTTACCTGCTGGGTTCAGGTTCCCTTAACTTTTTCCCAATGCTTATCGATAAGGCAAGCGCAGGGGACTTAAGCGCAGGGCAGGCGCAGGTCCCAGGTGCAAGGTCACGGGGATTTCTGGTGGCGGCGGGCAGCTACAGGCTACAGCATGCCCTGCCCAAGAAGAAGGGACGAACGTCATGGACACAAGCTTCCGGGCCCATTTGGGGTACGAAGGTACCAACCTAACTACCTACTACCTATAAGCCTACGAGGTAAGTACCTCAAAAGCTCGGTTCACTTACTACCTTAATAGAGGAACTGGACATAGGTATTGTACCAATTCCCATTAAATGCGCAGCACCCAATGTCACAATCAATGAGGAAGGTAGTATATTGGGGTTTGCGCAAAAAGTAGGCGTCGCACTCAAGGTAGAATATCATCATCCTTGGCTGCTTTCAACTTGTTGAAAAAATGTTAGTGTATACAGCATAGCTCTAGCTTTAACGACTTTGCTCTGAGCGTTCCCCAAGGTTGCGAGTGGATGTTACGACTGCCTTAACTTACCTTACTTGCCACTACGACAATGAATTAACTTGCCAACGACAAATATCTTCTAATATTGTTTTCTCTTATTCATTCGTTACAAGAGCAGAGGTATTTCCGTCCCAACAAGACGTGTGTTTCAAAACGAAACCAGAGCCTGCGAGTCCAACGCTATCCATGTCCTGACAACCGTGAGGACTAAATGAACCCCTTCCCACCATGCATGGACCGGCCACTCGAGTAGAACCTTTGCTCACGAGGTGCCTCTGGAACGCCGTATTATGTTGCTGCCAAAATCCTTCCTGGACCCCATTTCAAAAACTACCGTAGCTTGCCATTGCCTCCTCCTCCTCGTCCAAGTCAATCACCTCGACGCCTTTCCTCACAAACGATTGAGACCGCGCGCTCACTCCAGATGTACTCCTGACAGGTTTCGTGTCCTTCTCCTTGTGTAGAAAATCAGCCATACTCGGTGGTTTTTTCGCAATGGCTACGTCGGCACTGTAGAGCTTGTTGTAGAACCCTACGACCCGAGGGTGAGCCATCACTTTGTCCTTCCGGAAATTCAGGACCTGCAGGCCTTGTTGACAGGTCGCTCGACTGAGCGCGACATAGGCCTGACCCTTTTCGAATACTTTGCCCAGATCCACCTTGACACGTTCCAATGTCTGACCTTGGGCCTTGTGAATCGATAGTGCCCATGCCAGGATCAGAGGTAGCTGGCTTCGACTAGCCTGCACCTCGCCATTGGGTAGCTCAACTTTCCAATCTTCCGGGACGCAGAGGATGGTACGGGTAGATCCATCCACCGCCGCGAATTCCACGACAGGATACTCGGCCTTGCCCCTAGTGGCCTCCTCTACTTCTCTGCTAAAAGCTTTGATCTTGCGCCTGGCCCTTGCTTCTCCATCCTCGTCTACGTCCTCGATACTCTGCATCATGAGTGCTGGATTCCAATTTTCAAAGTCCCCCTCGCTCATGAAATGGGTCACTTTGCCGAGTGAACCGTTGACAAGTGTATCGTCCATGTTTTTAATGAGCATAACCTGAGCACCGACCTTGAGCTCAATCATTTTAGGTGCCATCATGTTCTGGAGTAACTTGTCGCGTATTTGGGGGTCTCCGTTATCGCCTGCGTCGTACCGCTTGGGTGTTCCAGGCAATCTGCGCAGTCGACTTTGGTTGGCGTTCTCAACCTCATACCGTGTAGGGAACAGCTCCGTGACCTCCAGGCCATCTGTGACGGGAACCGGCCTGGTCAAGTTCCTGAACGCTTGCACAGTCTCGTCGCTAATTCTGCCAAGACGCATTTCGTTCAGCATATTGGCAAAGACTAAGATTGGTTAGCTGCTGCACCGGTCTACAATGTCCAGACTCGTGTTTCATTTCCACATACCTGGGTCCCTTTGACGGAACACCTGCGTCAAACCAATCGTGTGGTCAATCGTAGTGTTCCAAGTTGCCGCTTCAAAGGCGAATTTAGAATCCCTGCTTTTATCGCCATCAGGTACCGGGGGCAGCTGGAAGAAATCTCCCGTAACCACAAGTTGGATTCCGCCCCAAGGCTTGCCGTTGTTTCTGATGGTTCTGCCGATCTGTGAAAGCTTGTCGAACAGGTCGCCGTCAACCATCGAGACCTCATCAAGGACGAGGATCTTGGTGCGAAGCCAGCGATTCTTCGCTTTGGGGTTCCGCCGGATCTTCTTGACCAAAGTCTGGACGTCTTCCTTGCCAAGGCCAATCCCAGAGAAGCTGTGTAGTGTTTGGCCTCCGATATTGCAGGCTGCGAGGCCTGTCGACGCTGTGATAGCTAGCCTTTCCGGATCTCTCGCCCATTTCTTCCGGAGCTCGGCAATGATCGACCTCATCAAAACCGACTTTCCAGTTCCGGCCGGACCTGTGAAGAAGACACTCTGGCCTTGGTTGATTACGAGGTTTTGAACATGCTTTTGCTCTTGAGTGAGAGCAATTACCGATGCCTTGGGTTTGGGCAGATTGCTTTTCGTCAACTCTGCTCGAATATCGTCCATAGACCACTCTTCCTCATTGGCGGCTTTCTTGGATTGTGTTTTCAGCTGTTTCTTCTGCTCCTTGAGGGCGCTGGCAGTCATATTCCAGGTCTCTTTCTTCTTCTTGGGAGCAGGCGTGACACCACCATCCGCCCATCGAGAGACCTCCGGCTCGTCTTGTGGCACTGGGATAAAATTCTCCTCAACCTTCCATTTTGTTGGAAGCTTGCGCTTCTTGGGCTGCGGCGCCACTTGAGACTCGAAATTTTCTGGGGACTCACGCTTCAGTGAGCTTTCGGCAGATGTGGTGCGTGATAGTTGAGGGTGGACGAAATGTGATGCGGGAGACGAGGACCACGGTAAAACTTGTGTCGAAGGCTCCTCGGGTGGCGGGTTGCTAGCCTTCTTTGCTACAACAGGGGGCTTGGGGAGTGATGGTAGAGCCGACGGGGCTTCGAAGTCCAGATCAAGCTGGTCATCGTCGCTGAAATCATCTTCGGCAAAATACACAGCGGGTTTCGAGTTGGCCTGCCCGCTTTGGGTAGACATGTTATCCGGCTCGTCTCGAAAAGAGTCAGACCTGGCGTAGAGAGAGGCGAACGATTTGCCGTTAGGAGCGGATATGGAGTCAAGAGCGGATCGATTACTGCTTGCGAAGTGCGTTACACTCGCAGTCCTGCCCGGCGGGGGCCGTATCGAGTTCGTCGTCGTGGGTGGCGCCGTGGTCGTCGGGGTGGTCTTTTTGAACTGGTCTATGATATTTCCATTTTGAGTGGCGCTGGGGCTGCTCGAGGGAAATAGTTGCTTGGCCAAGTCATTCTTCTGGGGCGGCGGAGCGGTGGCCTCGTAGGCCTTCTTCGCTCTGGCCAACATCGAATCTGTATGCGGACCTAGATCCGGATGGGAGGCAGAGGTGTGGACATGGGCGACACGAATTGCTGCTCTGTGGGTGAGTTGGCGTAGTACTGGCGAATATCGAATGGGAAAGAGGCTGGTGATTCCAGCCGTCATCCGAGGGGCTGTCTTGTTGACATTTGTCGTGTGACCCTGAACGTGAGAGGCTTTGCTGTGTCGCACGCTGATCGAGGAAGGAGAGAAGTCGATCTGCGACTAGGTATTCTGGAAGGGCAACCCTGATTGTGGTCAGGACGCGCCTGGACGCGTTAAGCCCCTCCTGAATCTCAGCGCGAAAGTTGCTCCAAATTAAACTGACTTAGTCATCGATCTAGTGAATAACAGCTCCACCAAGCAACTGACCACCACCACCACCCAGTCTCCTTTACATTATCACATTGTCAACCTCACCCTTTCATATAACGCGTGAAAGGGTCGAAGTCGTGAATTATGGACCCTGTTTGTACGAGTTTATTCGATGATCGTTCGCCAATCGTCTACTTTTTCTATGATTGGAATTCGCACATACACACCAAAGACTTATTCCACTTTCTGTAGGAACAACTGATGGACTGCTGGCTACCCAGACAGACTCCTCAAATTGTCCAATGGCATGTTGCTCAATCACCGTCATTGGCTGCGGGCCGCCCACGTTCACCACGTAGCTCCTCTCTTCTGCAGAAAGAGCCTGCGCCTCGATGCAATGTTGTCAAAGGAGAAGCTGTTCGTTCGCCTCATCTTGGGCGTGGGAGACTGACTATCTGCAGTCGACCCCAATGGCAACCTTTCAGGCACAAAGGTTGGGCAGAGCTCTGCCAACCTGGCCTGACACTACTTATTCAAGCTCTCGCCTCCCATGTTTGTGCTGTGCTACCCCGGCGTCTCTGCAACCTGCAAGCTGCATTGCCAGATTTCATTCTCACTGGGACGAGGAGAATCCTCGCTTTGTCAAACTGATTGTTCAGATCTTTCATTGGTCAATTTCACTATGCTGCCCTCTGGAAAGACACTGTCTGTCCAACTTTTGTTTCGACTAAAGCATTAACACAGAATAGTTTCGTTCTTGCCGGTCAATGAGACGTATAGCTATCGACGACATCCTCAAGTGTGGAAGAAACCCCCGGAAAGGACTGCAAACTTGGGCTACCTTAGTTGTGGTACCTCGCCCCTGATCGCCCTAGCGGTTCAAACGGATTGTCATGGTGCCGGCTCATGTACTGTTTCGCTTGCCGTGCTCTCTCTTCGTACGTTTCCTCGTCTCGAAACAAAGCGCCT